TAATAAATTATGAATAAATAAATTAAACATGTTTTTATTTTTAGTTTGAGAAGAGGTTTGACGACGCTCGCAACTGCAAAAGGTCATCATTAATGAGTGCCAGAAGATAAGAGGTGTTACAAGAGAGTAACAAACATAAAAAGGAGGAGGGGAGAAAAGGACAAAAGATGCATGGTAGGAAAGAAGGAGCAAACCACAAAATAGCACCCATCCGCCAACCACCCACGTCCCACGGAGGTTGTTTCGACTTCGGCGTTTCCGGTGGGGGGGGGGGGGGGGTGAGGGGAGAGGATCGGACAACACGGCTGAATGCCGACCTCGCTCGCTCCCAGACTGGCAGCCTACAACAGCTGTACTGACCCACCAAGCTCACAGTCTACTGCTGGGCGGCTAGGTTCCCGATTATTGAAATTGAAAGCTAAGAATCGAATTAATCGACTCCGAACCCAATTCCTTACTTCTTCTTTTTTTACGAGTTTTACGGCACCTGCAACACATTAAGGTCATATAAGTGCCGAAGATTAGAGGTGTTACAAGAGAGTAACAAACACAAAAAAGAAGAAGGGGAGGTAAGGACGATAGATGTCTGATAGGAAAGAAGAAGCAAACCACACCAGAGTACACGCCAACCACCCACACTTACTTTATAACGATGTGATTTCTTCCAGTGGTTACCTAATTGGCTCCGAACATCTTCAGGATTTAGGATAACCTTGATTTCGGAACACTACGAAGCATCAACTTTTATATCTCAAAAATAAATTCTTTTTTCAAAAGTAGATTTGAATGATTAATAACCGTTTGGTTTTCGTAAAAAGGAGTCTGAACTTCTCTTCCGTAGCACTACTCGTGGGAATCGGATCCGGAATCGATTCTCCGCCCAGCTGTACCTCACACCCCCCTATTGTTTCTCACGACACACCGATCTCCCCGAGACAACGGCTCTGAGCCCCGCTGGAGGCGATGTCAAAGCAAACCCAGAGTTCCCCCCAACAGCTCACGAATCCAGCAGAAACTTGTTCCCAAGCTGAGAAAACCCAGCAAAAAGCTGCAGAATCTTACACCTGCCCTGTGTCCAACAGGCAAACAAGAGATTCCACACCCTTTTTTTTATTGTTTTAGTCAGAGTTTTACGTAGCTTGCAACTGTACAAGGTCAAACCGGTGGCGTATTTTTTGGGTCCCCCCCCCCCCCCTCCCAAAGTCCACTACAGCCAGCACTTTATTTTTCTTCACCAATACTGCGTGTGTCCCAATCGTGTGTAAACTGCACTCAGACAAACAGCGTGAGTTCTCACGACAGAAAGGCCCAAACAACATTAACTCGATGGCAACTACAAAAAGAGCACCTGACAAATACGTGGTGCCCACTCTTGATCTCGAAACAAAATCAACCTTATCAGACTAATTAATTTGCTTTCCCCGTAATGACCACCCGGGTCAACGTATTATTGTTCCGGCGATCCCATCCTGAAACAAAAACTGGTTGCTTTTAAGCACAAGGGGGCTATCCCGCAAAAAGCTGTTTTGAGAAAATTGAAGGCAAAGTCTTTGCCCCTTGTTCAATTTCTTTAAAAGACAAGGAGAGTTTTCTCTATAACCAAACAAACATACACACCAGTGAAACCAAACTTCTCCTACAGGTAGGGCAATGCTCACTTTTGGTGTAGGTTAAGATTTCTGGAAACCCCTAAAATCTGGGTTAGCCCGCTTGTCCTTAAAAGCGACCAATTCAACCCGGGCTTATCTCCCAGACTGGGCCCGTGATTCTCCGTCGGAACACCGGAGTGGCCACGATATTGTCCTGCCCTGACATCATCGAAACATCCCTCCTTGCTGCTACAGGTTACACTCGCTCGTCTTCCGACTGCCCCCCCCCCCCCACTCCTTCCTTTTTCATTCTTCTTTTAGTCTAGTTTTAGTCAGAGTTTTACGGCACTTGCAACACAATAAAGTCATATCATTGCTGAAGATTAGAGGTGCTACAAGAGAGTAATAAACACAAAAAAGGAGGAGGAGAGAGAAGAAGGATAGCTTTTTTTTTAGAAAGAAGAAGCAAACCACACCAGAGAATCCACCACCACCCACAACCAAACCTGATCTCCCCCCAACTGAGCCCGTGATTTGCCGTCAGAACACCGGAGTGGACACGATATTGTCCTGCCCTGACCTCATGGAGACATTCCCTCCTCGCAGCCACACGTTACACTCGCTCGTCTTCCCACTGGGCAGCAACTCTTGGCTCTAAATCACACAATTCTTATTTTAAAAACCTGCGCACCCTCCGCGGGTGGTCGGCGGGTGCTCTGGTGTGCTTTGCTTCTTCTTTCCTATCAAACATATATCGTTCTTATCTCCCCTTCTTCCTATTTGTGTTTGTTACTCATGTTGTAATAGCTCTAATCTTCTGGCGCTCATATGAATGTATGCAGTTGCGAGCGCCGTGAAACCTCAACTAAAACTAAAAACACCCCCTCCCCCAGCCCTTTCCTTTTTTCCTTTTTCTTTTAGTTTAGTTTTAATAAAAAGGTTTACGGCACTTGCAATACAAAAAGGTCATATAAGTGCCGAAGAATAGCTTACGTGTTACAAGAGAGTAAAATACACAAAAAAGAAGGAAAGCTAAGAAGGAAGTGAGATAAGCACGACAGAAGTTTGATATGAAAGAAGGAGTAAACCACACCAGAGCTTCCGCCAACCGCCCACCGTTTTTCTCTTTTAAACCCGGGTTTCAAACAGGTTGCGTGTTCGCTGCCAAACGAGAGGATCACAGGGATGTAACAGTTGTCTGACAGGTTTCAGCTTTGAGCGTGCTGAGCGAGTCAAACTTCTTTCGTCCTTTTCTCTCCTCCTCTTTTCTTTTTAGTTTCAGTAGAGGTTTTACGGCGCTCGCAACAGCATACGATCATATGAGCGCCAGAAGATTAGAGGTGTTGCAAACATAAAAAAAAAGGAGGAGAGATCAGAAGGATAGACGTTTGATAGGAAAGAAGGAGCAAATCACACCAGAGCACCCGCCAACCCCCCACCCGTATATGCAGTTGCGAGACCCGTAAAACACTTTTTTAAAAGAAATCTTTAGCGCGACACGACGCTACACTACACTGACTGACAATGACATGACATACCAGACCAGAACCTGCCCGCCCCACACATAAGACTCAAACAGACGTTCGTATTTTGATTTATGAAATGTATTATGAAATGTATAACACCACACGTATAAAAAAGATAAAAAGCATTATAAACGACACATCACACCCCTTATCCACACTAATTGTAAGATCACGCAGCGGCAGATATGTACCTCCAAAAACAAAGAAAGAAAGATATAAAAAGAAGTTTTTTACCATCTAGCATAAGGCTTTTGTCAGAATGAGCATAGATGTGTGTTGCTCTTAGAGTATGTATCTGTATATGGCTCCAGGGGTCTGGTATTTAAATTCCTGCATTTGGTTGAATGATGCATTTGGTATGTACATTTTGTTAGCTTTACTTCTCCTTTCATGTTGAGTTTTAATGAGAGTAATATATATGACTTAATTTTTTAAATTTTTTTTTTTTTTTTTTTTTTTTAATGTATGCCTGCATGTGTTTTTACGGTCCTGTACAACCAAGGAAAGTTTCCCTCTGGGATAATAAAGTACTATCTTATCTTATCTTATCTTATCTTATCTTATTTGATAGAACGCTCCACCGCCCACAAATTATAGCACCGTATAGCACCAGAGAGGGTTTACAGTGACAGCATTACTGTACAACTCTCTGATAGCACACCGTGAGGCGCTGGCCTAACTAACCCTTGTGATGTGAAGCTTCGTGACACGCGCGAACAAGAGGAGTAATTTCCGCACGCTCTCCAAAGTCGATGACATGCGTTGTCTTAGGGAAAACTCCCGGGTAGGGCTGGGCAAAGAGTCGCTTTAACAAAATCCGGATAATATATTAGTGCACCTCTTTTGATATGAACCGCTTCGGCAAATGGGTTGGAACAACTTCAACAAACGGGTTAGCACTACTTCAACAAATCGGTGCACCCACTTCGGCAGACGGGTCAGGAAAGAGAGTTAAGAGTCTGAATTCAGACAATGTTTCATTGAGAATTATCCGGTTATCCTTATAGATTATCCGGATTTTGCCCACCTCTACTCCCGGGACAGATAAGAGATTAAGGAGAGCGGACAGTAGAGGAGAGGAGATTGTGTCGAACTTCCTAACTTCCTTTCAGCTATCAGCGCGTGCAGAAACAGTCGACAGAATAATGTGTAATAAAGGTAAAGGAAAAACAAAAAAAATAAGAAGAAAATTAATTAATTAATGAACGAGGCTCATTTGGGAGCCATGAAACCCGCCCGTGTGTGTGAACTGGTCATAGCGTGATCACGGAAGCTGAGTCTCGCCAAGGTATCGAGTAAAACTGTCTGGTCTCATCAAAGTACACGTGTCGAGTTTAGGTCTGGGTAAAGAGAAGTACATTGATACATGGACGGCAAAAATGCTTGTGGGAAAAAGCAGAAAGACAAGCTTTTAGTTTTAGTGAGTTTTACGGCACTTGCAGCACAATAAGGTAATATATACGTGACGAAGATTAGAGGTGTTCCAAGAGAGCAATAAACTTTTTAAAAAAGAAGAATGGGAGATAAGGACGATAGATGTTTCATAAGGAAAGAAGAAGCAAACCACACCAGAGCACCCGCCAACCACCCACAGACATGCAGAGAAAAACAACAACAACAACAAAGACAACAACAACAACAAAGACAACAACAATGACAACAAAGACAACAACAACAACAAAGACAACAACAATGACAACAACAACAACAACAACAAACAAACAACGACGACAACAACAACAAGAACGACAACAAAGGAGGAAAAGAAACGTTGGTCCCACCAAT